TTTTGCTATTTCATTATAATTTGTTATAATTATTGTTTTTCAGCTAAAACTGACTTACTCCTAATTATAGTAGTGATTTAAAATAAAATCAGCAGTTACTATAACCATAAAAATTGTCATCTTGATATATAATTATCAAAATATATAATTATAAATTATATATAAATATATAATATGAAAGCTAATGTAAAAGAATCCCCAAAATAATGACAAGTGTTTTAACAATAATTAACTACTTAGTATATATTTATTTAAAAAAATAATTTTATTTAAAAAATTCTACTCTATTGTGCTATTCTTATACTATATTGTTATGCTATATGTGCACACTCTTTTGTTATACAATATTTCATGAAAGCTCTATGGATTAAAACAATTCAGATATCCCCAAAATTGTGGTAATGATATGGATCAGAGAAATAAAATAAACTATTTTTAAACATTAAATCAATTCCAAAATCAGACTTCGAGTTGCAATTTATGAGTGAAAATATCCTCTCCTATAGCAAAGTTTAGGCAATAAACTATTAGACTCATGCAAAAAATAAATTACTAAAAGAACTAGTAAAATTTATCATTCATATCATACAATAATATAAATATGATGTCTGAAATTTTTTAAAAAATCTTTCAGTTTTTCATTTTCAAAAGTATATTGGTTAAAGCAAAGAAAATACAATGGAGCAAAGACAGTCATAAGTGGTGCTGAAATGACTAGACATTCACATGCCAAAAAAAAAAAAATCTAGGCCTAGAACTTACACTCAACACAAAAATTGACTCAAAATGAATCACAGACCTAAATGTGAAACACAAAACTATAACATCCTTAGAAGATAACATAGGAGAAAACGTAGATGACTTTAGGTATAGCAATGACTTTTTAGATACAACACCAAAACACAATCCATGAAAGCAATAAGTGGTAAGCTAATTTATTAAAATGTAACACTGCTATGCAAAGACAATGTCAAGAGATGAGAAGACAAGCATAGACTGGGAAAATAATTTGCAAAAGACACATCTGATGAAATACTGTTATCCAAAATATTAAAAAAAACAAAAAAACTCTTAAAACTCAACAGTAAGACAAACAACTTGATTAAAAAATTGACCAAGACCTTAACTAATACTTCACAAAAGAAGATATACAGATGGCAAATAAGCATATGAAAAGATGCTCCACATCATCTGTCATCAGGGAAATGCAAATTAAGACAACAACACGATACCACTATACTACCTATAGAATAGCCAAAATCCAAAACACTGATAACACCAAATGCTGGTGAGGATGTGGAACAATGAGAACTATCATTCACCGCTGATGCAAATGGCACCATCATTTTAAAAAGACTGACATTTCTTACAAAACTAAACTTAACTCTTACCATGTGATCCAGCAATCATGCTCCTTAGTATTACCCAGAGGAGTTGAAAACATATGTCTATACAAAGCCTTGCACAGGGATGTTTACAGCAGCTTTATTCATAATTGGCAAAATTTGGAAGCAGTAAAGATATCCTTCAGTAGGTGAATGGATAAATAAACTGTGGTATATCCAGACAATGGGATAGTATTCAGCGTTAAAAAAAAAAAAAAAGAGCTATCAATCCATGAAAAAAATATGGAGGAACCTTAAATGTATATTTAAACCAATCTAAAAAGCTTATATACTGTATGATTCCAACTCTATGATATTCTGGAATAGCCAAAGCTCTGGTGACAGTAAAAAAAAAAAGTCAGTGGTTTCCAGAAGTTGGGGGAAAAGGATGAACAGGAGGAGTACAGAGGATTTTTAGGGCAGTGACAATACTCTGTATGATACCATAATGATAGATAAATGTCATACATTTGTCCAAACGTAGAATGTATAACACCGAGCAAACTGTAATGTAAACTGTGCACATCGGTTGATAATGATGTGTCAGTGTAGGTTCATCAAATGTAAAAAATGTACCAGTCTGATGGTGGGTGTTGATAATGAAGGAGGTTATGCATGTATTGGCAGGGAGTCTGTAAGAAATCTCTGTAACTTCTCCTCAATTTTGCTGTGTACTTCACACTGCTCTAAAAAAACTGTCTTAATGAAAAAAAATCATAGGTTGGTATTCATGTACTTTCTGTTAAACCAATAATTAATATATTGAATACATTTCTTCTGAAACACATGTATATTATCCTTTTTAAAAAATGGAATAAAAAAATGGAATCACATATAAGTGGGTTTCATAATAAAAGAGTAGAGATTAGGAATTAGAATAAAGTTCTATAATTTTATGATCATAGTAATTTAAATTATCATAAATTATGACTTAATGAATGCTGAGACAGTATAATATTGGCTTATATTATCGAAGAGTATTTCAATGTATGTGATATACCTTATCCCTTAAAGTAGAAACTAACTCTCCAAAAAGAAAAAAAAAGAGAAACTAACTTCCCAAGATCAGAAGAGTTGATATATTTTACAGGTGGAACTTTTTGTAATTATATATTTAGCCTAGATTTTCCTTATTTTTGAAATATTTATTAAGGTAAAATAAATATAACAAAATTATAATTATTGTTATTATCATTATTATAGAGAAAAAATAGCCGAAACTCAAGCTTAAGAGTGTTAGAAACATTTTAGCAGATTCTGTTTCATATAAATTAGTAAAATGATTATCACATTGCTTAAATGATAAAGTTAAAAGATATTAGAACTGCCAATAATTAATAATAATGCATATAAAAATGTAGGGATAACATATGCAGAAAAAGGATAGATTATGGTCATCCTCTAAAAATATTATGAGATCACAGAATAAAGGTCACTTGTTTTTGGTGTGGAAACTAATAGTATTTTACTTTGATAATATGACAGCCTGACTACTTGATTGATGGCTACAAGTCTATATTAGGGCATTTGTCTGCTGTTGTTTGTTTTTCTATAGACACATCACTTTCACTATTTAAAGCAGAGAATGATTAACATGATGAAACTTGTTAGGAAAAGCAAGATATATATCTCCCTGCAAGTTGGTCTCCCTGGAACCTTTGTTTTGGTCATTGGCCACTGGCATCTTTGCCACAATGCCAACATGTTATGACTGAGGCACAATACAATCATCTCCCCTTATCTGTGGGGGATACATTCTAAGGCTCTCATTGAATGTCTGAAACCTCATATAGTACTGAACCCTATATATATCATGTATTTTTTCTTAACATACATACTTATGGCTAAGTTTAATTTATAAATTAAGCACAGCAAGAGAATGTCAGAACAGATTAGAATGGCCTGAGATTTCATCATGCTGCTCAGGATGGAGGGCAATTTAAAACATATAAATTAATTTCTGTAATTTTCCATTTAATATTTTTGGACCTCAATTGACTGTGGGTAACTGAAACCACAGAAAGTGAAACTGCAGATAAGGGGGAAGGGGCTACTGTACCTAGTAGTAAACAATAAGAATCGTACTGCTGAAATTTTATATATTCTGATACAATCATATCTTTCAACCTGAAAACAGTAGAACTTAATAAGGAATATTTTCAGAAAAATCTGTGGAGTACAATGTGATGCATGATATGTCACTTCTAATATATTAACCAAAGTGCTTTGTGGTTTATTAAAATTTAACATTCCCCACATTGTACATTGTTAAATGTTTAGGTGTACTGATTAAAAATAAAATTGTAATCTCAATGAACTGAGAGTACAAAGGGTGCTGAAAAAAGTAAAAATGCTTTCAGTACATGCTGAATCAAAACATTTTTTAAATGATTTTTTCCATGTAAAAACTGTGATTTTTTTCAATTCTGTTAGCTGGAAATTTCATATTTCTTATTTATTCACCTAATGATAACTCTGAAGAAGAGAGTGGACTATTGAATCATTTTTCAAACAAATTCTAGTGTGAAGCAACAAGTAGTCAATAAAGTTTTTATAAAATCAAGCACAAATGAATATTTTAAAATTTACTTTAAGCCACCCATATGCATCCAGGTACAAGTCTATTTGAATTTTTATCATTTACCATGCTAATGTTCTTTCTCACTTAAAACACTTTACCTAGAGGCTTCTTTTAATTGTGATAAAAATTAAAATAGCATAACATTTACTATCTTAACCATTTTTAGTGTACAGTTCAGTAGTGTTATATATATTCATACTGTTGTGCGATAGCAATTTTAAAATCTAGACCATCTTGTTCTTCACAACTAAAGCAATTTTGGTAATATCTGTGGGTTGCTTATATTTTGGATAGCATAACCTGCTATTAATAATGTAGTATTTATATTGAATACATACTTTGCATTGAATCAGGTAAGGTGTATATGACAGACAAAGGAAACAGTCCTATCTTCAGAGGCTACATGTTGCAAATTCAAACAGTATTAGCCCAGGAGATATTGTTAACCCTGAAGCTTCTTAGAGGGTCATAGTGGTCTACTAAACAGGGACAACTAGTGGAGTGTACATGATTAAGAGGTCAGGTGACAGACAAGCAACAAGTGATTTTGTGGGGCAGTATTGCTTACAATACATTTTCTAAACTGAGCTGAAACCAGCCAGGAACCATACTACTACCCTTGTAGTGGAAGGGTTGCTACTGTGTTAGTAAACCTGGAATATATAAACCCATGCCAAATATATCTTCAGTGATATAGCTTGTCTCTTCATGCTGTGAAAATTTACCTATTGTATCAAATACAAAGCAGATAATCAACAGGACCTGATTAACAAGGCAATTTGAACATAACTATCAAAAGGGATCAAGAATACCTTCAAAATCTCTACCTCAATGTAACTCATTCCTTTGATTCTACATATGTCCACAACAGCTTCTTTCATTGTTAAAATACAAAATTTCTTCTTACAGTTAGAGTAATAGTATATTTTTGGATCTTTAGAATCAATATATTACATGGATATTTGTATATCTAAAAATGTATTTTTAAAAAAGACTCAAGTATGTCACACTGAAAAGGTTGAAATGTTTTGCAGATTTGTGAAGCTGGAAATCATTTCATCAATGTAGTGTTGGCTCATCCCAATCACACAGGTTAGTCACTTTTTTAAATCTCCTCTAGAGTGAATTATGCTAATTGTTATTTTTTAAAGCAATAGTTGGAAACATTTAAGATTAGTATTCCCCAATTATTGCCCTTTTATGCCTAAGTTTTCAAAATATTTGAACTATATTATATTCCCTAATTATGGTTTCTCTAAAGTGAAGTGTTCATGTACAAACACACACACACACACACACACACACACACACACACACACAAAAACTCTCTCTCTCTCTCTCTCTCATTTAAATATATGAAGAAACACACATGATTAAGAAGTAAAGGAGTATGAAATCCTTTGATGAATATCCACATTTCTTAAGTTAACTTTCAATTCTTAATCTAATTTGCACAGTATGTTACAATCCCACTGTATTTCAAATGACTTCTTAAACTTTTTCTAATAAAAGTGAATTTTCTCTGACAAATTCAACAGCAGCGAAATAGCAATGTTTGGGAGAACATTTTGAATTTACTGGTTTGCCAAAAGATTTGAAAAAATTTACAGTGTCTATATAATTTAAAGGTATTTTTGGTAAATCAATACTCTCATTCAGGTTAAATTATAGGTAGGGATTCACAATGGCTTACTGTACATTGTACATAATTTAACTGTAATTTCCAATAGCACTGGTCAACATTTGGATTTCATGTTTTTATCAATCTAGTTGCAAATATAAAGTTGTGTCTGTCTCTTCAAGTTTGTTTTAACTTGAATCTACCTGAATTTCTTAACATTTTCTTGTCTTGAACAGTTCTGGCAGGCTGGGAAAATATATGAAACACTTTCCAGAATATTTTTTTCTATAATACATAAAATTACAAAAGAAATTTATTATATTAGAATATTTGTGAACACATAAAAAGCTGTAATATAATATAAAATAACATAAATCTTTTGATTCCTACATTATATAACACTTTGATCAGTACCATATTGATGACCATAAATTATATATATGGAAATCTAAAACAACTGTAATATTATTTGAAAATACCTCTGCCTGAAAACAATTAAAAGAATAATGCAAATAGTATTGTGTTTTGTTGTCTGCATTTGTACTGAACTAAATCTTGCATTTTATTTAGAGGTTAAATGCCATTTTTATCTAATCCAAATTCATAGATCTACTGATTTCTCTTTGGAAGTATGTGAAGCCCAGATGAAAAACTTCTGATAGTCTGATTTTTTTAAGTATAGAAGCAGAACACAACACAATTTTATAAAAATGCTAACATTGCCAAAGTTATGAATATCACAACTTTTAGTCTTGACCCTGACTCTCTAACAATGTGACTTTGCTCAAGTTTCTTCATCTATCTGGAATATGCAGTCATTGCTTGAAAATGAAAATTTTAAATCATCATGTTTTCAAAGTCAAACTTTGGAAATGTTTATGTGAGAAAGACTTTTCCATGTGTGTGTGTATGCTTTTACTCCACCTTTTACCTTGCTTTGTATGTTGCTCTTGCCAAGTCAGAAGCCAATCTAATCTTCCCTCCTTGATTAATTGGCTTGGTCTTTTGCCTCTAGACTCAGAACACTTTCTTTATCACTGAAGTCTATTAATTTTGTACAGAGTTTTGCAGGGTGCGTCTTAGATTTGATAATTCCAGATCAATTTTCCCAGAGACATGATGTAATCTTCTAGTAGGATGACTCATGTCTTTTTTTTAATTCTAAAAACTTTTATTGTATTATAGTTGAAAATGTGGTTTGTTACATTGTGGACTGTGCGGAGAGGGTGGAGTTACATTACACACATGTTACATCTGCCTCTATTTTATATATCTGTCACTTTCCATTTTTAATTTTTAGATTTTTTTTCACTGTTTTTGTTCATCTACTTAATATCCCCTATTCTACTGAATATTCTACCCTTAGGCAAACTGAAATATGTACCATATTAATAATGTGATTTTTTTCTACAATTTAATTCTTGAGAAGAATCAACTATTTTTTTGTTCCTGTTTTGTCCATACCTATTTTGAGTTCTGGGATTTCTTAACAGTTATGTTCTTTGTTATCTGCAAATGTTTCTATGCATTAAAATTTTTCTCTGTTTTAATTTTGGGGGGAGTTTTTATCAGTTGGAAAAAATTCTGGCTTTCGTTTTTATTCATATAGAAGGCTTATGTGAATATTGATCAACTTACGTTCATTTTAAATGTGTAGATTGTCCCTGAAGAGAAATAACAAGTGTTTTTACAGATGGGGTGATTGAAGTGAAGTCTCTAAAGAATAAAGTGTGCTCTGGAGGGGATGGGGTGTTTCATTGTGTCTTTTGATCCTCTATACACTCCTTTGCTTTCTAAATTCCTTAATTCCCAGAAATACTACCTTCTTTTCCTTCCCCTCTAAGCCTTCAAAGTATTTTCTCCTTTCTTAGAAGCAGTGCCTTCTAATATGAAAACCTCCAGACTCACTACTCTCAAATCATTTCATTTCAGTTCTCTGTATCCAGTGTCCTGATAAACTCAGGTCTCAGATGTTTTCCCAGAGTAAACCCTCTTCTTCTGATCATGAATTCTTGATATCTACATACACAGTGCACTCTTTTTCCTTACATAAAATCCTTATCCAACTCTCAGTTCCTGTGTCACCTCTAAATGAGTCTCTGTTGCTCTTGGATTTTTATTTCCCCACTTACATATTAATTCAAGTTTGTAGTAATATCTGTACCTTAGATATGTTTTAGGCATGAATTATGGATTTGGGGACCATTTTATATTGAGTGTTTAAGCAAGATGTCACAAAATGTGTTCCCCAGAAAATACAATTTGATATAGAACACATTTTTAAAAAGCTTATTACAAAGTACTGAAAAAAAGGGAAGAATTGTGCCTAGTAGGAAACTGAGTTGTGATGTCTGAAGGGTGGCCTCAGTCATTTCTCTAGGGTTATCTGAAACTAGGAGAACCCTTCTGAGTTACCCTAATTTGGAATGACTACAGAAAAGGTAAGTTGGATTTGGGGCTCCCTGGAAATGGGGAAATTATCTAGGATAAGGCAGTTCTCTTTTGTCAAGGCCATCCTTTCAGAGGGTGTAATAGATGAAAGCTTTCCACTATCAGCAGAAATTTAAAAGAGACATATTAGTGGGAAATTACACAGCCTTCACTGCTGCACATGGCCTTGGTCTAACAACTGATTTGCACCATTTTCCTCCTCCACAAACTTCTAGATTCCCTTCACCCTCAAATGACACATTTAACATCTCAGGGATTATCTGTGGTATGACATGGACCCTCACTTGAGGGTCCTTATCAGGACATGGACGTGGCCCCTGTCCATGGGTCAAGGGAATACCAGAGATGTCCAAATACTAGAGGCAAAATATACTCTTCTTACCCCTCTGTATAACAGCAGGTTTACCTCCTTTCCATGATAGGATCAATTACTCTGCCAAGAGTAGTGATTCATTCCCCACAACACTGGGGTCTTCAGGTTTTAAGATCCTTGTTTCCAAGTGGAGAATTTTCTGTCATGGGACATGGGTAGATTCCCATTCAATTATAAACCTTATCTTATAGATTTAAAGGTGTACTTTGCCCCTAAGTCAGCATTTCAACTGTGCCTTCAACAGATTAGCAAATTAATCCATCAGGTTTTTTTTTTTTTTTCGGTACGCGGGCCTCTCACTGTTGTGGCCTCTCCCGTTGTGGAGCACAGGCTCCGGATGTGCAGGCTCAGCGGCCATGGCTCACGGGCCCAGCCACTCCGTGGCATGTGGGATCTTTCCGGACCGGGGCACGAACCTGTGTCCCCTGCATCGGCAGGCAGACTCCCAACCGCTGCGCCACCAAGGAAGAGGTTGGCAACTTTTTGATGATGCTGTATTTGATATGAGAAATTGTTCCTTTGGTTATGGGCCCACTTCTGTACCTCCTTTTTGAAAAATGGATTTCTTAAAGTAACAGTGTACTGTGGATGGACCTAGAGTCTGTCATACAGAGTGAAGTCAGAAAGAGAAAAACAAATACCATATGCTAACACATATATATGGAATCTTAAAAAAAAAAATGGTTATGAAGAACCTAGGGGCAGGACAGGAATAAAAACTCAGACATAGTGAATGGACTTGAGGACACAGGGAGGAGGAAGGGTAAGCTGGGACGAAGTGAGAGAGTGGCATGGACATATATATACTACCAAATGTAAAATAGATAGCTAGTGGGAAGCAGCCACATAGCACAGGGAGATCAGCTTGGTGCTTTGTGACCACCTAGAGGGGTGGGATAGGGAGGGTGGGAGGGAGATGCAAGAGGGAGGGAATATTGGGATATATGTATATGTATAGCTGATTCACTTTGTTATAAAGCAGAAACTAACACACCATTGTAAAGCAATTATACGCCAATAAAGATGCTAAAACAAACAAACAAACAAATAGTGTATTGTGGAAGAGATGTGTTAAGTGATCAAATACTGTGTAAATCCTCAGATAATAGGACTGACTCAGGACCTAAAGGAAGGAAAGGGAAATCCATTCATAGAGCATGTGTCTTTTCCTGCAAATATGAATTGCTGCCTCTTTCAAAATAGAAGGTGTTCAACAAATCACCTTGCCATCAGGTTACTAGATCATATCTGTGCAGAATGGTTCCTTGTTACAGTCTAACTGGTGTTCTTTATTGGTGACAGTTTGGACACTTGGTAGCGGCAGTAGTTATATCTGCCCTGGTAAGTGGGAGCTCATGCTATTGAGGCCAAGTATAGCTCCCATCCCTGCCACCATACTCCATTCATGCACCCATACTAGCAATAAGTAATCCATTACAGAAACAGGCTGACAGTGACTGGCTAAGTCAACTTTTCTACCTGTTTGTCTCTTCCATCATTGATGCTCCCTTTGGGGCATTAACATGTGGTACATATATCTTCATATTTCATGGCCACTCATATTCATAGGCAGTCTTGCAATCCTTACTAGTTTGTCCATTTGACACTGCCTGTTATTTTATGTATATTGTAGGTTGGATGTATTTTGTTCAACTACAGAGACTCTGCCCACTGGGCGAATTTATCCCTCATTACTGTCTTTTAGGGTGTGACCTGTAAATGTGACTCTATTGTAGCTGCTGTGCATTTTGGCTTCCTCCCACATGCCAGCCAACTCATCCGTGAACTAAGCTGAAGGTCTTCCTCCTTTTCAGCTGGCCTGAAGGGATACCTAAGGTTTTCATGCATGTGAGTTAGGAGACATGTTGGCTCAACAGTGGTGTGTGACATGTCTGTATGCCTGGTAATGCAGCTTGTTTGTATCCTATTGCCTATGTTCAGTTTCATTCTGAATATATCACTTCTATCTTAAAATGAATTATTACTAGTCTTACCTAATCTTATGACTTGGTACATCTAACAGAACTCAGCTTATAGTGCTCAGTTAGGACCACATGGTCACTTGGTGTCCCTAGAGTAGAGTCTTAATTATACCAGGATTCAATAGCATTCCAGGACTATCTTGTCAAAGAGATATAATTCTGTGCTACAAAGTCATGGCCTGCTCTAGAATACCAAGGTTCAGGATTGTGATTATTCCATTGGGGCTAACCATAAGTTCCACATATTGAGTTTTTCCACCACTGATAAATTTAACATGTAGAGTCTACCTGATTATAAGTCCAAGTGCAGGAGTGCTTGCAGTAAAACTTGAACCTGCTGCAATTTTCTGCCTTGTGCCCTACTAAACTTTCACAGCTTTTTGTACTCCATGGTGTGCAGTTCAGAGGAGGTTTTCCTGGTGTATAATATACCTGCCAAACTAGAAGAGGCCTACAAAGCATTTTGCTTCCTTCTTAACGATATGGGTTTCAAGTTGCCACACATTTTCTCTGTTTTGGAAAGGATGCCCCATAATCACTTGGCCCCTAAATCTTTGTAGTGTTTATTAGCAACCCCTCTTCTGTGGACCACACATGTCTTAGTAAGGCCAACAATATACTAGCTACTTCTTACTCATTCAGTATGAATAGCATAATGTTATTGATCTAGTGATTTTCAGTGAGATGCCCAACCAACCTGGGTCTTCTTGAGCTATTTTTTAGCAAAGGGTGTGAGTATTAAACAGTTAAAGAAAAAAAAAAAAAAACTGAAACCCTAGCTATTGCCCATTTTAAAGAAAAGTAAACTGTTCTGGCCTCCCTTTCTACTAGAGATGGAAAATACATTTGTCAATTCAGTGGCTATATCCATAGACCCAAGTTTGGGTTAATCTGCTTTAGTAAAGATATCATATCTGGTAATAAATTGCAATGGTGGATAACGTGTGATCAAGTTTGCAGTACTCCACTGTCACCCTCCTAAATACATCTGGCTTCTGCAGGACCTAAAGAAGTGAATTAAATGGAGATATAATGGAGAATATCATACAAACATACTTTAGATCTTAAATGTAGCATTAATGTCTCATTGGGATGCAGATTGTTTATATTTACAAAAGAATGAGTGCAATTTCAGAGGCTTCCACTTGGATTTCCCCACTAGCTCTTGCCCCAAAGGCCAGTAAATCAATGCACAATGGGATTATGCAAACTACAAAGTATGTATATTCCAATTATTCATTCAGTGTCTGGGGAAATAACCCCTATGAAGCAGTGGACTAACTGTTTAGCAGTCCTTAAAATGTAGGGATAGTCTACTCTCACTAGTATACAGTTCCCCAGACAGATGACCGTAGATAGTTTAGTGAAGTTATTTTAATGAATGATTGTGAGAATCCTTATATATATACAGTTATTTCAATGTTGCAGTCTTTCTCCCTGGGGTCCCAGACTGTTCTTCCATCAATGAGTTTAGTGTCTTACAAGTAGTTTAAGTCCAAAAACTGGGAAAGAAAACTAGGTTTTTCTGTGTCACAAGATACATTGGTTATTTAATCTGCAAACCACATCTGGAAGAAATGTGTGTTTGTGGGTCCTGATCATTCCACAACCTCCAGGAATTGAACAGTCATAAACTGGCTTTAACCCAAATTACCTTGTGTGCACATTCTGCACCTGAAAGTCACTTACTATAAAGTGGGTAGGTTCCTCAATTATCTTTCTTTTGATGAATATATGGATGCTACACAAAGATGTTTACATAAATGTTACCAAGAGAATCTGTACTATTAAATGGTGTACATATTTATCCTTATCTTGAAATGAGCAATGCATGAAATCTGCACATTGCCTAATATATTTTTCCCTGTGATAGTTCAACAATAGTTACAATTTTGAAAACAACATACTGACATTTCATTATGACTTTAGAATTACAACTAAAAGAGATTAGTTGATGTGTTATCTGATTAAATCTTGCTATGGAGAATAAACAGTAATTTTATAATTCATATTTACTTTTAAAAATGTCACAGCTCAAAGTTCAACTTGAAATCATTATAAATTTGTTATCCAAAATATTTCTCAAAAAAATTTGAAAGGCAAAAACTAACAAAAATCAAGTGACAATATGCTATGTATAATGAGAGTTGTAAATAACAATCCTGATTACTGAGCAGAAATAATTTATATGGTATTTCTGAATATTAACTATACTGATATTCACTGTAATCCTCTTATGAGCAATTTTCATACTTTTCTGATATAAATGACATAATTATGAACTTCCCTTTGGATTTTCACTAATTTAATAGAGGTTTGAGGTATTTAATATTCTCAACCAAAAATATATTCTTTGACACTAAAAGGAGAATAGGAAGAGGCATGCAATTGTGAAAACACATTTATGAATCTCAGTATGCAATACTGCTGCTCTACTTTGATAAAGTAATATCTATATATTGTTTGATTTTAAAACTTAAACAATTGATTATTATGGTGGTATTCTGTAATTTTACAGCAACATAGCTGTAGACATTGTCAGAAAATGATAGGGATTCTATTTCAGTCAAAAGGTTATAACATTTGAAACGGTCTCTTCTGAGTAATTTGTGAAATAGGTTTCTATAAATATATGATGACATTTCATGTGGTATATAGTTGTTCTAGGGAATTTAGAATTATACAATATATATGTGATCAAATTTGCAATATGTAACATCATTGACATTTTACTCTACTTTTTAAAAGGAAATAATGCCTGCTTTCCAAGTCCAAATTATAACCCTTTTACGTGGATGTTTTTCCTGGTTTCATGTCCTAACTACACCTATGAGGTATGCTAGCTATGTATGCAAATAATTGAACTTTATTTGATAATATACTAAATACATGTGTTTATGTACTTACATGTATTATAGATTAATATATATATGATAATATGTGTATATGTTTTGTCTGTAGAAATAGGTATAGCCAGAGATACAGATGATTATATAGATTTCAATTTAAGTTATAGGCGTAGGAAACTGGAATAGTTCAACCACAATTTTTCCTGCAGAATATAGAATATATGTGCATATATTTATATATATTTAAAGAAAATTTTATAATCATCATATAAAATGTCTTGAGAAGCTTCAGGATTTTATTTTTTATCAAAAATTTTGGAATAATGTCTCATTTTCTTATGAATATGATACTGCTTTATGGGATTGTTTAATAACTTTATTATATTTAAGAACAAAATTATTGTCTTTAGGAAATTTATTTCCACTTAGAATTTTCCTACTGTTTAGTTTTTAAATTACCTATTTAATTTCACAAGTGAACACATTTCTAGACTGACTATCAATATTTGTTAATTTATGTTTTAATCTAACAGATTGGATCATGGATTAGTTTCACAGTCATGACGCAAACATTGCCAGGTGAGATCTATGTTTACTGACATTTAATTGAAGTAGATACACCTTTAGGAGAAGTGGTTTCTGAGAACAGATTGTATAGTACTAAAATTAGGCATGTTTGTAAAGGGATTTTTTGCCTTTATTTTTATTTTGGATTTTTTAAGCAGTATTAAAATATATTGGAACATTATTTACTATGCATCTCTATATAATTGTGGCTTAATCCAAGCTAGAAAATATAGTCCAAATATATTTATTAAGCAACAAGTTTTTGTTAAAAAGGAGTGGTAATAATAATACACTTCATTTTAAACTCTCTCTTGTGCATGTGCACAGACTTGCATGTACTGTGTCTTCAAGTGTTCATATGCATCTGTGAAGGGAAAGCTGGGAGCATGAGTTTGTAATCTTGAACGCTGGTCATTTTAACACACAAGGAAGTTAAATTGTAATGAACTGCATGTATTAAACGGATATGTGTCATATCCTTTTCATCAATTCTTTGTTCCACTGTACAAAAATGTGGATTAAAATTAATGCTGCTTGTTGTATGTGTGTATGTGGGTGTAGAAGTATTTTATACACATATGAAAAACTATTATTGAAAAATTCAAGGAGATTTTTTAAATTCCTTATGTGGGAGTATTTTGTGGCAGTGGGATGTAAAAAACATAGATTTATTTTGATCTCTATATACTTTTTATGTTTATTCAGCTATGCAATAAATATTGATTGAATGTATATGATGCTAGGCAATATACATGAGTAAAGAAAATTGATAGAGAACTATGTAACACGAGAAATATTTTAAGAAGTATATATGATTTTTTTTCTAATATAGCTTGCTATATCCATAATAAAAATAAGAAATAAAGAACAATTATTTCTTTTTTCTTCTAGTTGGGATTTTTACACTTCTGATGAGTATCCAGATGTCTTTGTGGGCACAAAAGAAACATAAGATTTACCTGAAGAAATTCAGTTCTTATATGCATAGGAAATCAGCAATGATTCCATTTATATTGTAAGAAAAAATAAGTGATCTTATCTCATATACAGAAAGCAGTATATAAACTCACTAAATCAAACTTGATAAAGGATAGTTGCCTATTATGCTCCAGAAATTCACAAACAACAGTATTTTTGCTTGAGTAAAAATACAAAATGGTAGAATCTAGCTGAATTTAGAGTAATAAACTTGAGGTAAATGAAAAGTAGAAATTATCGATATAACTAATGGTAAATAGCATCCAGTATGTTTGCAAGGGACTGATCCTTGAATGAGATGTTCTTACTGCATTAAATGTTTCATAACTATTTGCTTAAGACCATTTAGAATATCTGAATTCTAAAAAGTAAATATTTTAAAAAGTTGTAACATTTAAATCACTTGAATTTTACATATTATTTTGATAGTAATTTAATTTTTTCTTTATTGTTCGTTATTGAGAAATATCAAATGTCTTATGTCAGTAGTTCAATTTCCTATATTAAAAGTTAAATATTTTTAATTGACCATGCATCTATCTTATTCATAACATATACATTGTATATCATTCTGAAATTATAACAATCAAAATATTTTCTAGACATTACTTATTAAATCATTTGAATATACTATATTGAAATATATTTATACATACATCATATTTATATATGCATATATATAGAAATATATATATATTTCAAATGGATTATATGTGATGATGAAGAGAGAGTGCATTGGAACTTTGAGATTTAGAGTGGAAAGATTTTTTGCTTTATTTTCATATTTTTAAATTCTTATGTCTTCTCAAAGCCAGTGTGGTATGTGTATGAGTGTGTATGTAAATATGCATATATATTTTGACAAGAAGAGGGATGATATTACAAAAATTAAATATATATTATGTAAATATTTTTTAAAATCTTAGTTTATTCGTATTTAAATTGGGATTCTTTACATTGGTTAATTTCTAGAACCTTTCCAATTATCAGATATAAATGTATCTAGATAAACAGATGGATAGATGATAGATGGATATACATATATCAATATATCCTCATTAAAGCATTTAGATATATACATATATGACAAAATATCCTTGGTAAAGGTAGGTCTATATGCATTCTGTGGGTGTTTACTATTAATATACGTGATCAACTTTCAAGATATTAAAAAAAAACACCCATTTAAAAGCTTTATCATTCCCAAACTATATCTTTACTAATAAAGGTCCCATTCCAAACAAATGCTGGAAATAATCTTAAGCAGGAGTGGAAAAATAAAATCACAGGACACAGATATTAGCTTCTGCCTCCAAATCATTTAATGTAACAATTAGGATGCCTGGCAAGCTATAGTTTCTTCAATTTAAATTAAATATTAATTTAAATATTAGGATGGTAGCTAATAATGTATTTAAATTTTATGAAAATAAGCATTCAAGATTTAATAAATTAACATTAGAATTTTCTGACAGATACTAGATTTGTGATTACATATAATATTACAAAGAAGCATCATAGTTAAATTAATTTAGGTATTGATAGTTAATTTTTAAATAATTGTCTAGAATGATTTTTTCTATCCAAAAATGAAAACTGAAAACAGTGCTTTTAAAATACCACATCTTCATCTTTTATACATTTCTTATAAAAAGTGCTAGAGAGGGAGAGAAATCAAAAGAAAAACAAAAGTACAAAAGTTGAATCAGCTGCTATACCACCCCGTATTATCACAGCCTCTTGCCTCACTTCCCCACCCCTTCATCATTTCTCCCTAAAGCTACTACTTTAAAGGTGTTTTGGGGTTTTTTTGCATGTGTGTTTTTTTTAAATTTCTGGCTAAGTTTAAATAAAAATAGACTCAACACATTTTGTCTTTTAGCAAGAGTTTTGTGGAAAATTATTCTCTAACTCATACGCAGACACAGACACAGAAATTTTAAGCAATATCATTTCTTAAAAGAGATAATACAAATATGGTAGCATTAAATTTTTTTTAAATAAATGAAATATATTCTTATTTTTTTAAATGTGCATGTTCAATTTTATTTCTCTATGAAAAGATATTATGCCTAATACTGAGGGGTAATCAAATAATAAAATTCAACATTATAGCTGAATATCTTGTATATTGACCTTTAATCATCTTCCAGTAATTAAACATATTTTCAAGATATTTTAAGCTCAATTTTGAGTAACTATCATTCAATGCATGTTAAATTTTAGCAGTTGTTGTACTTCATTTATAACATTTGTGCTCATAAAATAAAATGACCTGTGAATCAATAATGAGGGTTACTTATATTTTTATTTTAATAAAAAAGAAAACTGTTGTATTTGCTCCTGAATATTAGAGGTGATTACAGCAAATGTTACTTTATAAGTACAATTAAAGGCATTTATGTAGCTTTTGCATAATGATAATAATTAAAAAACATTTTAAAGGCTGCTTAAAAGTTAATTTTCACTCAGGTGCATATTGAAGCCTATAATTAGCCTTCCCTCAGAGAAGGTTTGATCATAGAAATGTACAAAAGCATTTTTGGAGGAAGAATTTCCCTGCTAAAATGGGATTTTGGCTTTTAACTGTAGTTCTATAATGGTACTTAAAACATGTAAGAAAAATATGCTCAGAAATATTTTTCAAAATGAATATAATGATAACAGATTTGTTTTCTTGAGAATATAAAAGACGTATTTTCATATTATTTGACTGAGTAATATGAGGGGCAGGATGAGTCAGATGGTGATATTGTGAATTTTCTCTGTAATTGGGTGACCTTTCAACTGACACTTTTAGGGTATTTAGTCAGGTGAATGATTACTGGAAGAATGTTTTAGACAAATAAAACTGATTTATATAAGGCACTGGGACAGGAAAACCTTGGTGTGCTTGAGGACCAGCAAGTCACCCAGTGTAGTTGGAACATACTGAGTAAGAGAAAGAGTCATTTATCCTGGATTTGGAGAGGTACTGAAAGGACATGTCATGCATGGCTCTTAGACCAGTCTAGATCTGTTACTTTGATGTATTATTTTAGAATATTCAATTTTGTCATAGAATACAAGAAAATGAGGAGCTGGAGGAGACACATATGAAATTGCATCAAGATAATTTCCAAGAGGATAGTAGAGAATTTATATTTTATTCTAACTGAAAGAAAAAATTTTATTCAGGGCAAATAAATATTACAATGTAATCTGATATGTTTTTTTAAATGTATTATTCCATATCTTATCTGGACAAATTGTTATGGGTAAAGAGATGACACAGGAGTGCATTTAGAAGAATCCAGCAATATCCAAGGGGAGAAACATTTAGTTGTCATGAATGCTCTGGGTTTTGCTTTTGCTATAAAGAGAAGAAAATTTATGGGATCCCCACCACCATCTATGGGACATTCTAGTTTACAGGGAAGGATTGGAGTGAGGGCAAGATGGGCCTAGATTTCAAGTATTATTTAAGAAGCCCCTTTATTGCCCTGGGTAAGCAGACCAAAAACCACTTCAGTGTCAATAACCCTTCCTCGAAGGGTTAGTAAGAGCTTCCCATGCCCATTCACATACATACATTTGCCAAAAATGCCCCAGAACAACATTCCTAGTTAGAATATGTAGGATTTTATCAAAGCCTATGAGCCTGCACAAATGCATCTTTCTGAAAAGGCTGAAAGGACACAAAACCTGATTTTTCCAGATACACAAACTGGTCTTGAGGAAGATACCACTCCATACAATTCTGATGAGTCCCCCACACAAACAATTTTATATGTACTGACCAGTCTGAACAGTGTAACCATCAAGATAAACTGTCCTGATCTTATTGGCTATATGAGACTGTTACATAAAAAAGCTGGACACACTGAGTACAGAAAGTGCTACAGCAGGTTCAGAGGTAGAATAAATTCATCAACCTTCATTAAATTCTGATTTTAGATCCAAAGAAATCTCCAATAATTTTCCCACCAAAATCAATCAGACTTATTACACCCTAAAATTATGATACACAGTTGACCTTTGAACAAGGTAGAGGTTACTCTGCATATAACTTATGGTCAGCTCTCCTTATCTGCAGTTCTTTCGTATCCCTGGATTCAACCAAGTACAGACTGTGTAGTACTCTGGTATTTACTATTGAAAATATCCCTGTATAAGTGGACCCCATGCAGCCCAAACCCATGTTGTTCAAGGGTCAACTGTGTATTCAAATTTAGCACTGTGCATCAAACACTATTTTAGTATCAAGAATTTTATCTAGAAACAATTGAGACAGGCATGATAATGTATATATGTATGCATAATGTTCAGGCAGACATCAGGTGTGGACTGAATGGATAAAGGATCCAACAAATCAATTTATGTTATAGCTAATTAATGGAGTTATATGTAGCCTTTAAAATATATATTCTAAGAATTTTAATTGGCATAATTAAATCCTCATATGAAAGATTAAATAAAATAGAATGTAAAAATAGGTAAACAATTATCCTGTAGGTATTTTACAAAACTAAAAAAATAAACCTACCAAAGAAGACAAAAGAAATTTATTTACATATTAAATCATAATGTAAAAGCAAGAATACCACAAATGATAAAATATTCACAATGATTTTAGGCTAGGAGGATTAAAAAAACTGTTTCCTGTCTGTTTTATGCTTTCCAGATAGTTTTCTATGAACAAGTATAATCAATTATAAAGTTTTAAACAACTTTATTAAACACAACAGATTCCTTATGAACTGGTTCCTGCATTTTTTCTCTAGTGTAATCTCCACACATATTTTCTCATACTCCCTACATTTAAATAATAACTGATCAACATAAAATATATTGAATTTTTCAAGTGATTTTATATGGCTAAATTTCTGTATATGTTCTTCATTTTATAATATGGACTCTCTTAAAGATCTTTTTTATTTTACTTTATATTAAAATTCACCTTTGTACATAAAATATGTAGCAAAAAGCATACGTTATTCTAAGTATAATTTTTCAAACTGCATATAGTCAGATTATTTCAGAAACAGAATGTTCCAGCATCCCAGAAGCCCCACTTCTTGCTACCTTGTAGTTACTAACCTCCCCAAAAGTAAAACTAGTATGACTTCTAATATAGATTAATTTTACAATTGCTGTAATTTATTCTTATTTTTTTCTTTTTTACTCAAAACATGCAAGATTAATATTGTTCATGTAGTTTTACACACAGCTTTCTAATTTTGTGACATCCTTATCCCTTTCAATATCTTCATCAGAATCCTATGACACTGGTACCCTGATCCCAGCCTTTAGAACTGGCAGAAATATTTTTCCCCCTAAGGTACTCAGTCTATGGTATTTTGTTATAGCAGCCCAAAGTAAATAAGACCCTGAAATTCTTATTTCCCAGCCATAACAGGTAAAAACAGAGTTTCTTTTAGTTTTGAGGCTCCATTTCTTTGACGGTGGGCCATAATCACCTGCAGTCTAGATAAGATGTAAAAACAAACAAACAACAAAACAAAAAACAATGTGGAGTATTGTTTA